CGCGATTTGGGAGTGAACGGCATTGACGGTAGGAAAAGACAGCCATTAAACGAGGCGGGGATAAGGTATGGAGTAAGGACACATGACAGTTAATCAGCCGAATCTTTATTGGTGCCACGTCATCCTAGATTCGTATTCCATTATTATTGATCCTCTCACTAGGAAGTTCACGGGGATTCCGTGACACGGAGGTTAGCTGGCAAAATTAGTACACATTAGGTAAGGGAAATTAAGAGTATGTTCTACATATAACTTGTGTATTTATATATTTTTTATTTTATATAAAATATACAATTTATTTAAACATAATTTTTGCTGATATGTTAAATATGAAATATTTTTTTAATATATATAATTTTTATTATAATTTTAAATTTTATCATTTTTATAATTTTTTATTATATTATCATGTCAAATTTAAATTTATTAGCTCTATGTTAAAATTAATATTTCTATTAAAAAAATTGTAAAGGTTTACGCTAGTATTAATTGCATTTACTCATTGAATTATGACTCAAATTCCTTCGTGTTTAAAAAAAAACTCTTTGTTTTTAATATCATCCAATTATCTACTTTATAGTAAGGAAGATCATTCTGATTTATATTTGTGAAAATTCGTACATTAGAATTACGAATTTTAATACGATTTTTAAGGAAAAGAAAATTGGAAAATAAAAATATTTTGCAATGGATAAATTGCTTTACCGTTAGATAGATTGAATATTTAAGTACTAACTCATCTAAGTGAATTGGTTTCTTCTTTGAATTACTTAATCAAATCAATAAGAAAACATGAACTCTCCTTGTACTTGGATTAAGAACAATTTAAATGAATTTCAAAGTAGGAAAAAGGCTAATTCAAAGTTTATCGAGTCGTTGCTAATTTCATAAAATAATATTTGCATTTTTTATTATGACATTCATCAGATGAACTCCCGATATATAGATGAAACTACTAAAACTTGTGAGCTTGGAAAATGTTTTGGGTTGGCTTACAAAGGTGATGAAGAGTGCATCGTTAACAAGTTGATGGAAATTGAATAAAGGGAGCGATATGATAATCTCAGCAATTAATAGTTTATGGCTATTTTTGGCGCTTTGATGAATCTTTAGATACTTTGAGGTGCCACAATTATATTCATTTAAATGGATCGTTGTTAGTAGTGTTCTCATTAAAAATGATCATGAAATTAATTTATCTTTGTTTCTTTAGTATCGTTCTATTGCTACATTTGATCTTAGTATGTAGTATCTAGTTGCAAAGAGATTTATTATTTCTCTTTTTCTCTTTTTAAGTTCTTAATCTACCGTTAAATTTTCTTACCCTACTACATACATGACTAAAAAATATATTATGCGCCTAAACTCTCTCAAACTCATAACATTTAAGTATCAATTTCAATGACATATCAATTAATCCAAAAATTAATCAGCTTCCATTAATTGCACTGAAACTCTATTTATTAGCTTTTGCTAGCTTTGTAACCTCTTTGTTGTTTTGATAAATATGGCTTATAAAAAAAAAACAATTTAAATAGTAAGATCTATTCAAACAAAAACAAAATTATAATGACAATGTATGAATGATACAATTTTTTTTTTTTATCTTTCATTGAAATTTTCTCAACACATTTGTTCTACTTACTTTATTAACTTGTGAGAAGGACATTTGTGTAATTCTAAACTCTAATCGTAATTCTAAAAAAAAGGATTGAGACTGACTTATCTACTATAGTTTATGAGTGCAATGGGATCTGTGGCATCCAACAATCTATAAAAGAAAATCAAGCAATAGGACCAAAGTATTTTGACCATCTTACTCTTATATGCAAGGGAATGGGGATAACCAAATGATAATCATAACAAATAATGCATGGAGGGATGTCTTAATGATTATGTTTTCTCCTTTAATTAGTGGCCATAAAGTGCGGCTGATCAAAGGCATGTAATTGAAAGACTATGAGAATGTGCTCTTCCTACATGCAAATTATGCAAAACCCAAAAAGAAAGAAAAAAAAATTCACAAGTGGGACACCAATCACCATTTTCTTCCTTTTAAGTACCTTTGATTTATCCCTATATATATTTCTAAAAGGTAAGTAATAGACATTGCAAAAGGGATCTTGGTTCATTTGTAACTCTTGTAGATGACATTCATAATCCAATTTGGCAAAAAAAAAAGATTCAAAATTATATATATATATATATGTTGGGTTTAGCCGACATGGAGGAAATATCTAATTGCCCCACTCCACCAAAAACATAGCAACATTATAACTTTGCATTGTATCTATCAATAATTGCAAGTGTGCATTTCCAATTGTTTAGTTTTGAATTATATACAAAATTCTTGGTTCAAACTAACATACATTGTAAAAGGGATTTTGGTTCATTTATAACTTCCAAGTATTTAAATAATTAATTTTTTTTTTAAGAGGAGCGATTGTTGGTGTTGAAATTTAAACTCTAAACATACTGGATATTATCTATTAAGAATAATTATATAAACTAACTGAAATAAGTTTTGAATTATTCAATAATCAATATTCAATCTTTAATAGTTAGATCAAGTATAAAAAAACACGAATTAAGTGCTATAACTCTCAATGCTTAATGCTAACTTTAAATATTTTAAAGATCATCCACTCAACAAGTATGTTTGTTAGAACAAGTTAATGATATTTAATTTGTAAAGTTAAAAAATTTCACTATCGATTTATAGAGTTCACTACAAATTTTATAAAACATCGAACAAATATTATCCTTTTAGTTAATGTTGTGTTAAAATAGTTCCTAAACATGATTGTATATCTAATTAATCCATCGCGTGAAGAGTTACTTGTTATCGCATTATTGCCTACTTTCCACTAATTCCACCGTTCATAGGCTAGAAGGGTGTGAAAAAATGATGGTGAAATTACCAAACTTTAAGCAATTAGCTCAATCCATCCAAAGCAGTTTCTTATACGTTACTATCATGAGTTTTCAATTTTGCCATTATACCAAAATTAGACAATAGATTTTGACTTTGTAGTCGTTTATTACCCCTTTTAAGGGTGGAAGACTTGCAATTTTTGAGTGCCAAGCTTCAACCCACATCCTGCCTGTTAGACACATTTTAGCAGCCAATTGAATAGCAAAAACCCACATTTTTTTAGTGATTTTACATGTATTAATAGAAATTACAATTATAAATCAAACGATTTTTAATATATATCAAGGAAAATAATCCAATGAACAAGCTAAAGTGACATATAATTGGACAAATCGTGTATCCGATATAATTTGAATCCAAAAGCTAAAAATTTTAAATCCTAAACAAAAAATACAATCAATAAAATTTGAATGCAAAACCTAAAAATTTCAAAACATTTTTTTTATCATTGATACAAAACTTGATAGCTCCAAAACCCACACTTTGTATTTAGAATGGAATGTTGAAATCATGTATTTCCAATGCAAAACTTAAAAATTTCAAAACATTTTTCTTGTCATCGATACAAAACTTGATAGCTTCAAAACCCACACTTTGTATTTAGAATGGAATATTGAAATCATGTATTTCCAATGATAAAATTTTAACCTTAGGGATAAATTGCTTAATTTTCCAATCTTTCTTATCACTGGTTCAGCCAGCTTAAATAGATTTCATGATTTACTAAAAAATCTGAGAATTATAAAGAAGTGAATACCAAGTTTGTTTTTTCACATTTTACTCCAACTATTTTCACTTTGTTGAAAGACTACTCCATTTGGGTGGATGATGATGGAATTGATTTACATGATAATTATGAAGAAAGAAGCAGAAGAGCCTGAGTTGGAAATTCCTTTTGGATGGATTGGATAGTATGGGCTTAGGGAAGCTTTGATTTTGCTTCATTGGCAAGTGACTACTCACTACCATTCCCTTGATTGATTCATGATACTGACAGTAACCCTTTTCTATCTACTATTGTACAGGTAATTGGTGAAAAAAATATTAAATTATAGTTTTTACTATGTTCTTAGTGAAAAAAGTACTAAAAGATTGACTGTAAATTGTTTAATTTTTTTTTTTTAAATTAAAGGTAGGATTGAAATCAACTCTTAGAAACAAACACATAGGATTAGTCTAATTAATAACAAGAAAAGTTTTTTTTTTTTTAATCAAAGTTTTATTTTGAGTTTGAGTACACAAAATTGATATAGCAAGAGTTCATCTTTATTGAGGAAGGATTAGGTTCAAGTGAAACTTAAAGATACTCTAACCACGTTATAAAATATCTACGAAAATATGCTTAGTGTATACAATTATTTGTTTTTTATGAACAAAAAAAATCTATAAAACATATTAACATGAAATCCAAACAAAGACTTAATTTATCAAATTTATTGCATATTTTTGACTTACAATAGTTACAAAATTCAAAAGTTTATGAAAGTTTTCACAAATCCAAACATGTGGAATTAGATCACCACTCATTTAACCAATTAATTATGCAGATTTTGAAAAATAAAAACCATCAATCATGTGAGAAAAGGATTTAAAGATATGATGTAAACAAGAAAATTTAACCACTTTTAATCACTAAAATTCATGTCATGTAAAGATTTAATCATAAAATCTAATTGTGACACTCACAAGGACAAATAAACCCTAAATCACATGGGTATCTTCTTCTAAAAAAAACCTCCAATTCTTAGTATCAAAAAATTTGAATTTGAAAAATAAATTAGAAATAAACAAACTACTTAACAAATAAGTACTTTACTCTTAATTGTGAATTAAATTTTGTAATTAACCAAAATAGGACAGATGTCATGTGTATTGCAAAACAGGACAAATGTCTCCAACCACTGGGCCGCTGCTTTCCAGTTGTTTGCACATCTTACATTGCCCAAAAATTTTCAATTTTTATTTATTATTTATTTTTCAATTTCAAATTAAAAAAAAAGAAGGGGTTTTTCTCTGTCTCAATGTGACTCTGAAAATCTAATAAATGCAGCTTGTCTTCAACATTCTCTACTCCTCTCACCTTCTCTTCCATTTCTTTTCCATTTCTCTCTCTCTCTCATTGTTTGGGTCCCTCTCTTTTTCAAAACCAAAACTTGGGCCTCATTATTAAAGCTTCTCTGCCAAGCAAATCCTTCTACAATTCTCTTCATTTTCCTTCCCTTTTCTTTCGGTTTCTTTCCCCTGTTTCCTCTGTTTTCCTCTGTTTTCTTTCTTTTTGGTTTCTCATGGCTGAGCAGATAGATGATGCTGAGTTTTGGCTTCCAGCGGAGTTCTTAACGGATGATGATAATGTTATGGAGAAAGAGAATCTTAAGAACACAAATGGTGGCAAAACAAAAACCGAGTTGCTGATACCGAGTCATGGTTTCCCTACTGAGTTCCCCTATGAGTTCGACTCATACGAATCCTTCTCTGCTCTTAGCTCTCCAGTTGAATCTGTTGTTGGGTCTACCGAGACTGAGAGCAGTGACGAGGATGAGTTTCTAGCTGGGTTGACTCGCCGACTCGCTCACTCAACGAGTCAGAAGCTCACTGTTCCTAGCTTTTCCCTGGACAAAAACGAGGTAAAATAGTTTCTGGGTTTTTCATGTTGAACCTGTTAAGCTCAGTGTTCACGTTTTTATGCGATTTTTCTATATATATTTTTTGGTGTTTTGGTTCAGAAAACTAGAGTTTTGGCGAGTTCGCCACAGTCGACTCTGAATGGGCTTGGAAGCTGGTCAGCATCAAGCAATGGCAGTCCTAATGGCCCTTCTCAAGTTCCTTCTCCCCTACAACTCCTCTCGGTGCCCCGAATGACACTTGGGATCTCATATATGCCGCAGCCGGCCAAGTTGCAAGGTTGAAAATGAGCAATGAAGCACACAAATACGCCAACTTTAACTATGGAAGAGCCCTTCCCAAGGCTCAAACTCATGCCTTCACGAAGAACTCGAGCCCTGGATTGTATTCAAGTCAGAATCTTTCATACAATCCTGCTCAAACAAATCACGTAAGCCTGGTTTTTAAGTTGAAGTTAGAAAAAAAGTTTGGGTTTTTAGTTTCCTGATCTGTTTTTAGGCTTATGGGGTTCTTTTTCCATGGTTTTGTTAGTATCCTGTAAGGCAAGAACAGCTCTTAAAACCTCGTTGCGGAGCAGCTTTGGGAAGACAAGTCAAGGCAAGCAGCTGGCAAGCGCAGCTTCAACAACGTCAGCTGCATCAGCAGATCCAGAGTAGAGCAAGGAACAATGTTGTTGGGGGAAGACCATTGGGGTTACCTCAATCTTCATGGCCTCCACTTCAAGTTCAACCTCGGCTGCAGCAACAGCCTCAACAGAACTCTGGGTCTGGCATGAGAGCTGTATTCCTTGGCGGATCTGGTAGTGTTAAAAGAGAGTGTGCTGGAACTGGTGTTTTCTTACCTCGTAGATATGGAAACAACGCACCTGAACCTTGCAAGAAATCAGGTGCTAAAACTAGGCTTCCCAGCTTTCATTTGAGGGTCTTTTAGACCCTCAAAACAACATACTTTGTTTTGAATTTTCTTCCTACAGTAGTGAATAATTGGGGTTTTTGCTTTGTTCTCTTTTGGTTTTGAAACAGGTTGCTCAACAGTTCTACTCCCAGCCAAGGTTGTTCAAGCTTTAAATCTCAACTTTGATGATACCACCGGTCATGTTCAGCCACATTTTAGTACCAGCTTTGCATCAAACTATGGTGAGCCTAGAAAACCCCATTTTCCACTCCCAATTCCAAAGTTATTTTGAGCCAATGTTCACTTCTAATTACTGAAACTCTGATGGTTCATGTAGATGCTTTGGTAGCCACAAGAAATGCACTCTTGTCACAAGCAAGGAGAAATTATAGACCAGAGGGAGGCCTAAATCTACCTCAAGAGTGGACTTACTAAGGAAAAATCAGTCCAAACTTTCAAATAGTGTTTGTTTTGATGGAGAAATGCCAGCATAGTAGGGTAGTAGTTTTTCTAATAGGTACATGGTTTTATTTTATATAAGGAATTCAAGAATGTGAGTGTAGTTTAGGAACCAATAAAGAGTAATTAAGTTATAATAGATCCTGGGTTTTTTTTATTCAAGGAGATTTGAAGATTGCAGCTTTCCCTATTAGAAGAAAATAGGAAACAAAAAGAGCAAGGGATGGATCTCTTTCGTTGTTGTTGTTGTAATAAGAAGTGGGCTATTTTTTTCTTCCAATGAGGGGAATTGGATTGGTCTTTGAAATTTGGATGCTTTTGTTGGGGAAATGTAGAAGAAAAATCCACAACACTCTTTGTAATATCCCTTGGCAATTAATATATATTTACTAATAAGAAAATGCTTGTAATATTCAAGCAAATTTGGAGATATTTTCGATCATATTGTAATGAAATTTGCCTGTTCTTGATATAAAATTTTGTTCACAACATAAAATTAACATGAACAAATAAATCATCATTATCATCATTATCAGCCTGAGAAACAAGACTACTTTATTAGATAAAAGTAAAGCACAAAAGCAAGAAGAAATTGCTTGCTTTTGGTTTTTGCTTCAGCGTGAAGCAGCGGCGGTGGGGACCAGGACAGGAAGCATAAGAAGAAGAGATATCCTTGGAAGAAAAAAAAAGATTGTGTGGGATCAAATTTACAGTACGTTTTTCGCCTGAAATTTTAATAAATTTAATGTTTTTTGGGCACATTTTTCTTGAATAGTACTGCCCATTTAAATTTTTAATGTTTAATTTCCCAATTTTGTTTTTCTTTTTTTTTGGAAAAAGCTGTAAGCAAGAGGGAAGAACAGCTTTGGTTTTGGTGATTTTTTTGGTATTGCTGTAGCATTGACTGAGTCAAACATTTCAGTAAGGTTGCATTAAATGCTTCTATTCCTAGTACTTTTTGAATTCAATAATTTTAATTCCTTTGGACTATTGGGTAATTTGGGTATTAATTATTTATTTAAATAATTAAAATCGCTAGTTGTATGAAGTATAATAAATCTTTCAAAGTACCATAAAGAAGATTAGTTGAATTGATACATATAGAAGTTTTCTTTTTTTATCAATCCAAATATGATTTTAATTATAATAATTATGTGATTTAATTATAAAATATTAAAATTTTATTTTTGATATTTTAAATATTAAAAGAAATTTGTTTTTTTATGAAAAACATTTTTGAAAGAAAATTTTATGATTTTTAAATACATCATATGCATGTTAAAAAAAAAATTAAAGATATGTCTAATCCAATTTTTTTAAAAAATAAAATATTAATGAAAAATTGAGCTTAGCGTAGTAAAATGTATGATAGGAAATTTAAAACTCTTTTTGTCTTTTTGTTTTTTAAATGTTTAAAATTATGTTTTATTTTAACATTTAACATCTTTATTTTTTATATTTTAAAATTATTTTTAATAATTTTTTTATTTTTTACATTAAAAATTATAAAACTTTAATTTTAAACTATAAAAATTTTTCTTAAACATTATAAAAGTCAACATCATTTAAACAATTTGAGAATGAAAAAGTAATTATGTTTTTTCTATGTTGTGTTATGATGATGCATAACATATGGACTAAATAATCATGATCAATTATCATACTCTGTTTATATAACAAATTTTAACCTATTGGGAATATTAAAATCTAGTGCTAACATTATGGCAACAAAACTAAATTTATCCTCCTCTCCATTTAATTAATTTTTTTTTTAATAATACTGCTTTGATCCCAATAGCAGAAACTCTGAAGTCTCATTTAACATTCCTCCATTGAACATGAAGTTTACAAATATTATGTTCTTTTTTTTTTTGTCAAAAAATTTTGGATAGAAAGATTGCTCAATCCTTCGAACGAGGGAAATATTTATTTTAAAAAATAAGATAGTGTAATTTGAATTAGCTCGAACAATCAATTAAATAAATTATCAATAGAATTTGAATTTAAAATTACTTACATGAATTCATCGATTGAGTTAATTTTTCGTCTTAACAAAGTTTTTTGGCTGACATTAGTGTAATTGATCATGCATATTAGTTTATGTTCTCAAAGAAAGAGGAATGCTTGTTTTATTCTTTGTAGTAATATAAAAACAATGATGCCCCATAATACTTCACTCAAACAGTTCACAAAGAGTCAGGTTCAATTAAAAAGGCATTAACTAAATAAAAGCTTATTAAATCTAAAAATTTGATGTTTTTAAATAAATTATTTTGCAAAAAAAAAAAATCTCTAAATTCACCTTCGATTTAATTGCCAAAGGTTACATAAATCTTTAGAGATAATCTTTTTTATCTTAAACATGAAAAAAAAAATCATGCATTTTATCAGACAGATAGAACAATCAAGTTGGGTATTGTTTCCTTTCATGTTTGTTTATTTTTAATTAACATAGTATTAATTATCTGAAGCAGGCTTCATCTGGTTTTGCTTAGGGATGCTGCAAATGGAAGAAAATGGTGGAGGTTGTTCCTGTTTAAGGTTTAAATTAAATACTGTTTCCAACTAGATCTTTGTTCTCTTAATCAATTCATCATACAGGCATTGTCCAACATTTGTCCTTTTCCCTGGTAGAAATCAAAGCAAGAAATTTTTATTTTTTAATCTCAAAGACTGCATGCAGAGCATTATTGCAATGTTAATTACAGTAATTATAGTCAATGATTTTAGAGAATATTTTAATGGAGGCAATAAAAACAATGATAATTATTAGGACAATGTTAATGCATTCATCTCGTACACTTTTTACGAACAATTATTTTTTATTTCAAGGACTCAAGTAAAAAGTAAAAAACATTTATGGGTTATAATAAAATTTGAAAATTTATATATTATGTGAGTGTGGAAATGAGTGTATTAGATGCATGTATATAAAATTTTAAAAATATTAATAATAAGCTTCTGTTTATTAATTATTGTTAATCATTAGCACGCCATTGATAGTAAGTAAAGCTAAAGCAAAACCAATGGGTTAATAGGGCTAATGAATGAATTTTTTTTTTAAATTTTGAAATTGAAAATGAAAGAATAGGTTGAAAATGGGTCCATGCATGAAAAATATTGTTCTACTTTAATTTTTTAAAGCCAAACTATCTTACACTTTAATTTGAAAACTTAATTTTTATTATCCATTTGTATTTTTTTTTTTTTTAGACTTCGCATGTTTTAATTATTTTAGAATCGAATTAAATGAAATCTTATAAATTTTTTTTTTTTAATATATATTTTTGTATATATAAAATTTAAAATTAAAATTTTACTTAAAAAATTAAATTTTTTATTACTCGAACTAACAGTAGTTAAAACCGTGTAGATTGAAAATCAATGTTTTACTCTAAATTGATCCATTAAAAATTTGATCTGAAAGCAAGCAAACCAGCCAAAAAAAAAAAAAAAAACCTACCAAAGATTCAAAGCATGAAACTTGAGTGAGTTGTCAGCACGTGGGGTGTTCTCAAAATGCTTTCAAAAAAATCAGATGTGACACCTTGAAAGTGATAATCTTAGGTACATTTCTTCTCTTTAGGGCCGGCGGGGGGTGTTTTGAGGATTTCAATTAAGATCCTTCTTGATTTAAGGCCCATATCCAGCCATCAATTCAGCTCCCAATGGGTCCAATTTGGGTATAACAAAAAAAAAAAAGAAAATTACCCGACCTTTTTCTTTCTAAGCATAATCTATTGCTTGTTTTTGATTCATTCTTAGATCAATTTATGGGTACATTCATATTTTCACGAGGAAGCGGACTTGAATCTAAAAGTTATTTAAAAAAAAAAAAAGAACTGTTGGTCGTAATTTGAAGATACATAATGAGTTATAAGTGTTTAAATTTAAATTTCAAATTTATTAAATATTTTTTAAAAATAATTACATGAATTAATTAACTTTAACCTTCTAGTTACTTGTAAGTTACCATTGGCAATACCAAATCCGGCAATAGAAACGAACCAATCGGTGCTCACAGTGAGGCAATTACGCACCTTTTAATTATAACAGCTTAAATATTCAGTAATGAAACCAAAATTACCGTGGCTGTTGATACGATACTTGCCCTCTAATGGATCTAATGGATCATAGTTAATGTTTAATCGAACTTTAAAAGATGTTTCTTGACTGCTTAAACATCAAAATAAAACAAGGAAGGCCAGTAGAGATCGACTTGTTCAGTGTCAGAATCAAGAGCATAGCTATTGGGAGGATGCATTGGAGGAATATTTCCACTGCTAAAAGCTGATTGGGTAGTGTGCCTGAAAACGAAAATGCAGGCATCAAGATGCTTTGCACATGTGATAGTTAAAATAAAAAAATACATTGGAAATCAATTAGGGACAAATTAGGTTCAAGATTTAATGCATTAATTGTCCTTGTAATTAAGCATTTCAATAAAATTAAGTGGTTGATAAATACGTAAAAGAGCTTTAAGGCCAGTGGAAAACAATGGAGAGGCAAATCGGCAGCAACCAAATGGAGCAAAGGAAGGGACGAAGATTAGTGCTCTTTCCCCTAACCTTGCAAGGCCACATTAATCCTGTGTTGCACCTTGCAAATATTCTCCTCCATCACCATAATACACGCCAACTTCAACTCTCCCAACCCTTCAGGCTACCTTCACTTCACTTTCCATTTCATCTTCGAAAACTTTCCTGAAAATTAAACTTGTACAACAGAGATCATAGCTTTTCTTTCGCTACTCAACACGAAATGTGGCACGCCTTTTCGAGACTGCTTGGCTAATTGGTTACCTGATACTTCGGAGGAGCCCATTGCTTGCTTTGATTTCTGATGCTGTTCCTTACTTCACTCAACATGTAGCGAATGAACTTGAGCTTCCCAGGATAGTGTTACTCATTCAAGGGAAAAAGGGTAAATTCCCTAGGAAGGTATGATTTTGCCTTCTCTGTTACATTCTAAGTTGGTTATTTTTGTTGAAAATAGTGATATAAATTTGAATAAAAAGACTTTAAAAACAATTTTTTAAGGGAAAAGATATTTTTAACAAGTAAATTTATATATTTATAAATAGTTGAAGTTTTTAAAAATTTAGATATAAAAAAAAGATATAAGAGAATTATAAAATTTTATGAGATAGATACTTCATAAAATTATTAGAGATTTGTTTTTTATAGATATATATATTGAAATGTTTATGAGTAGATTAGAAGAAATTGAAAATATTTATATAGGTATAGTGCATGTGTGTATACTGATATGTATTTATTTAGGTTGAAAATATTTTATAATACTAAAAAAGATTGAAAATTTTATGAATATTGATCTTGAATAATTAATATAATTTGATGTATATTTATAATTTTTTATCACTAATAAATATTTTTTTTATTTATAAACGTAAATCAATTAAATTAAATCATATTAAAATTTTATTTTTATGTAACTAATTAATTAATTAATTATATTTTTATTACAATAAATTAAATTGGAGCTTTTGATCTAATAGTAAGTATCAAAGTTGCGATGAATCCTAATAATTTTTGGATTGAAACAAATTAATCCGAGCTGCATTAACAATGGTAACATTGCCATTCGATTGAGCATCGTCTGGAACAACAGCGACCGTACCTTTTCTTGTCAGTGATATTTTTTCGTACTTCTTTATCGAGATTTTTTTTTTTTTGGCATGAAAATGGCATTCTCAAACTAAAGGAGCCAGTAGTTGACTTTGCACATCGAAGAGTGAAAAGACCTAACATTCATCCACATAACTGACCCTGAAGATCTTTATCGGTTTGTAGCTGGCATGGTGAACCAAAGCAAGGCCTCTTCAGGGCTCATTTGGAACACTTTAACTAGAACAAACTGCCCTGGAAACCCTGCACCAAGGGTTCCACTTTTCCCAATTGGTCCATTCATAAAGGCTTTCCATTCTCTTCAAGTAGTTCATTAACACAAGACCTAAGTTGTATATCCTGGTTAGACAAACAGGAGTCCAAATCTGTCATCTATGTTAGCTTTGGAAGGCTTGCAGCAATAAATGAAACCCAATTTTTGGAGATAGCTTGGCGACTGGCCGACAGCAACCAACCATTTTTATGGGTAGTTAGGCCTGGACTAATCCATGGTTAAGAATGGCTAAAACCATTGCCAAATGGGTTCTTGGAAACATTGGGTGGAAGGGGAGAAATAGTTACATGGGCTCCTCAACGGGAAGTCTTGGCTCATCCGGCAGTGCCTTTTGGACTCACAAATGGCTGGAACTCAACTTTGGAAAGTACATGTGAAGGGGTCCCTATGATTTGCATGCCTTGTTTCACTGACCAAAGGGTTAATGCAACATATGTAAGTGAGATTTGGAGGATTGGATTGCAATTAGAGAATGGAGTGGAGAGAGGGGAAATAGAGAGGACAATCAAAAGATTAACAAAGACGAAAGATGGGGAAAAAAATAAGGGAGAGAATGTTATATCTAAAGAAGGCAAATCTTTGCTTGAGTCAAGTTGGTTCTTCAAGACAATGTCTGGAGAGATTGGTTCATCACATTTTGTCATTGGGATCACTGACTTTACATATCCATTGAAATGTTCCAAGTAGAACTTGCTTTATCTTCATTAGAAGATCGAATAATCCCTATTATCAATAGCATCAATGGAGATTTAGTTAATTTTACTCAATTTCTAATGTTTTGCTAATGGCTGAAATCATGAATAAAATTATTATTCACTATTAAAAAATCTTAAATCACTAAAGGACAACCTTCTTTTCTTCTTTATTACATTAATACAAATGTGAGTGGTGCTGTGGTGTAGACTTGATAATTTCTTTTATGATACAGTAATATTACATAAAAATGATACAAAAAAAATGATATGGTAATTTTACATAAAAATGATATAAAATTTTTTTAATGTATTTTTAAAAAATATATTTCATATTTATTCGTGTCGATATGAATTTTAATATTACATAATTTATATCATATATATGTTGATATATCTAAACACGTAACATGACATAAATAATACGTTTAATTTAGTTTTATTATATGAGTACATATTTAATATATTTAATACATTTAACACATTTTTTATATTTATTTTAATTTAATATATATAAATATTATTTTAATTTTTAAACTTTTAATTATGATACTTAATTAGTTATTTTATATCATATAAAATTATTTTAAACATTTAATTATGATATTCATTTAATAATTATTATAAAATTATTTTTTATATTAATAATAATATAAATATTAATATTAGTCATATATATTATTATTTTATTTTTAATCTTTAATAGTTTATCATTTTAAATTTATATTAAAAATTGATATAATTATGTAATATAAATTAAAATTTAAATATATATTAAATACATATTAAATGAGTATTAGCATGTAAGTATTTTTTATATTATTAATATGTTAAGTTTATTAAATTATAAATGATAAATAATTTATAATAATTTATTATTTTAATTATATATTTGTATATAATCATATTAATCATATTTATTTATTATATATATGTATTAATAATATTTATTAATGTTTTTTCATATTATTCGTATTTATTTATATTATATTTAAATAAATAAATTATATACATATTAATCATATAATTTTATATATAACATATACATTAAATATTTTATATTCGTTTTTAAAATTTAAATATATTTTATAATTTATATTATATTTATATTTTAATAATTTATATTATTATATATATCAAATATGATATGAGATATGATATAAAAATATAAATTATCAATTTTATTTTAGTGTAATAAATCTAGGTGCTAGGTAGGCCACCCACCTATTGCATCATTTTATTATTATACTGTTCAATCTTGATAAGATATGGTACATTCCATGTCATCTCAACGCTCAAAAGTAAATGTATTTCTGAATTGAAATTGACGCATCGTGCGTCAAACTCCATAACATTACATCAGGGTTTGCATCAGTGCTATAATTACAAGTCACAACAAAAACATTTATTAAAAAAAAGTAAGTTTTTTTATCAATTGAATGGAAAAATCAATATGAACGAATTATTGTTCAATATGAACCGAATTATTGTGATAACCATAGCAAAAAGATTTTTAGTGACCAAATTCAAATATGATTTTGACTTAATCATAATTTTAAAAAAATTATAATAATATTAAAATTTAATAATAATTATATAAAATAATTAACTTAAAATTTAAATTTAAATATAAGTATGATAAAATGAGTGGAGAAATAATATATTAACCTTTTAATTATGTCTTTAAATTTTTAATTTAATAATTAAAAAATATTTAAAAAGATATCAAAGATTTAATTTCGAGTTAAATCTTTATTTTTTATTTGTACTAAAATTTTATCTTGATGAAACAAAAAAAAATATTAATTATGCTAATAAAAAATCAATATGGACCGACTCATAATTTCTCTACATGGAATATTGGCATGGGATATCCAAAATATCTACTCCATTTTTAATATGAATTCTCAAGATCATTTTATCTATACTTGCTTTACCAATTTTCAAGGATTTACTTATTATTTTATTTTTTTTAATAGCTTATTAGATCATTTTAGTATACTATTTGAATAATTCTTTGATTTTTTAATTTATGAAACAGCCTTATTAGACTTGTTCATAAATTTTCACACTTCAAATTTTAGAATCCAAAATTTTTATATTTTAAGTGGATAATTAGGATTAATTAAGAGAGAGAGTTTTGGAGAAGCAACTTTTTATTAAAGTAATTAGTATTGATAGTTCTTTCACATATCTCAATTTCATTACGAATAGATTTCTAATAGCATTTATATAAAATCTATTAGGAATATGCTCATACAATGACCTAAAAAAGGTCTTTGTAGATATTTTTAACGAGTTTGAGTTCACGTGGTCTGACTCATGTTCCAATATTTTTTTTATTTATATAATTAATTTTGTATAGAATGAAGGAAAAAAACGGTGTTCACGTGGTACCTTTTTGTTTATCTATTTTTAATTTTTTTTTTTTTTTTATTTAATTTATTATTTATTATTGGATAAATTTTATAAAAAAATTAAATGAAGGTTAAGATAATGAAATAATTTATATTTGATTAATTTTGATTTTTATAGGTCTAAAATAAGTGTGTTTTAAAAAAATTAAGATCCGATAATTTTTTTTGAAAATAAAATTAGATTTGAGATAGATTTAAAATGTTTCGTCCTTTTTTTATGGTCGAAATGATTTTTTTAATTTTTTATTAAATAAAATTTATAATAAAAAAATTAATTGAGATAAAAATAATAAAATAATCTATATCCAATAAATTTTAATTAATCTCTATTGAAACAGTGAACTTCTTTTTAATTCAAAATAATTGAATGGGGTTTTTTTATTTTTAAATCGAGTTTGATTTAGAGCAAAGTTTTGAGTATTATGCTTTGGCCTTGATATATATAAATAAATAATATTTTTTTATTTATTTAATTTTATATTTACATATGTTATTAAAAGAATATTATTTAATATTTTAATTTAATAAATTTATGTGTCATACTATTTAATTTTTTTGTCATTTTTTATTGTTTTAAAATTTTATTTATTAGATAAATTTTGTAAAGAAAAAAATTAATGGATGTAAGGATAACAATATAATTTATATTTGATGAGTTTTAATTTATCACGATACAACTAATACGATTTTTTAAAAATAAAAATTGAATTAAATTTTACCTCTTTAAATAATTTATACAAAGTTAAGATTAGATTTGAGATGTTTTATCTCGATTTTCTTTGAAATATATAAAAGAATATATTTTATTATTTATTTAATATATATTATATTAATAAAAATACTATTTAATATTTTAATTTAATAAAAAAATATTTATATATAAGTAAGTTACAATTTTTATTAAATATTTGTTTATATATTATTATTCATTAAAATTTGATATAAAAATTTTATTTTTTTATACATAAAATATGTTTTAAAAAATAAAAAATTATAACTTTCTACCAAATTCTTACACGAGCTAACATATTGTAATAAATAGGCCCACTAAGACTGTGACTTCTAACAAATCCAGTACTCTAAAAAGAGTAACAATCAATGTCGAATCCGAATTTCAATAATATTCTTTTTATATATATAGATTGCAATAGTGAAGGCTAAATTTCATAACATATATGGTAAAATTGAGAAAAACTGTGTCATAGCAGTAATGGCGAGTTCAGTGGATAAGCAAAGAGAGAATCAAAGGGAGCAAAAGAAATGCCTCAGGCTGTTGCTTTTCCCGTTGCCATTTCAAGGTCACCTAAGTCCGATGCTTCAGCTTGCAAATGTTCTATATTCTAGAGGCTTTTCAATCACCATCATCCACACTTGCTTTAATTCTCCCAATCCTTCCAACAATCCTCACTTCACCTTCCATTCAATACCAGATGGCTTATCCAAAAGTGAATCCTCCAGAGCAGATAATATTGTAGCTCTTGTTTCACTCCTTAACACGAATTGCGCGGACCCATTTCGTGATTGCTTGACTAAGTTGTTATCTGATGTTTCAGAGGAGCCTGTTGCTTGCTTGATCTCGGATTCTACTTGGAAATTTACAGATGCAATTACTGAAAGCCTTCAGCTCCCAAGATTTGTGCTCCGGACCAATAATGTGTCTTCTTTCCTAGCTCTTGCTGCCTTACCGCTTCTGCAAGAAAAAGGTTATCTCCCCATTCAAGGTGCACACTTATTTCTATGATTCTATCCAGCTCTAACTGGTTTTTGTGTTACCAGATTTGTTACATTTGAATTGATGGAGTCTAGCATTTTTAATAATGGTAATGGATTTTAATACATAAATATCTCGACAGGGTCACTAATCCATCCTCCTTTTCATTTTCAGAATCTCAAGTAGAAGCACCAGTACTAGAGCTTCCACCACTTAAAGTCAAGGACATTCCGGCCTTCAAAACACCAGATCAAGAGACTCTTTATCAAACAATAGCAGGGTTGGTCAAGCAAACCAATTCATGTTCAGGAACGATTTGGAACTCATTTGAAGAACTGGAACATGAGCCACTGACCGTATTACGGCATGATTTTCCTGTCCCAGTGTTCCCATTAGGTCCATTGCACAAGTACTTTCCTGTCCCTTCGAGTAGCTTACTAGCTCAAGATCAAAGCTCCATCCTATGGCTAGACAAGCAAGCACCTAAATCTGTTATATATGTAAGCTTTGGCAGTGTAGCAAATATTGAAGGGGCTGAATTTCTTGAGATAGCTTGGGGCCTAGCCAACAGTCAGCAACCCTTCTTGTGGGTTGTTAGACCAGGTTCAGTCAACGGCTCAGAATGGCTTGAAGCTTTACCAAATGAATTCCTGGAAGAGATAAGTGGGAGGGGACATATTGTAAAATGGGCACCGCAACAAGAAGTGCTAGCTCACCCTGCCACAGGAGGCTTTTGGACTCACAATGGATGGAATTCAACTTTGGAGAGTATTTGTGAAGCTGTCCCAATGATTTGTCACCCATGTTTTGGTGACCAAAGGGTAAATGCAAGATATGTTAGTGATGTTTGGAGAATTGGGGTGCATTTGGAGAACAGGCTTGATAGAATGGAGATTGCGAGGGCAGTTAGAAAACTACTGGTGGAGGCTGAAGGGCAGGAAATTCGAGAACGAGCAGTGCACTTGCAAAAGATGGCAGATCAATGTATACGGGAAGGTGGTTCTTCGTTTCAGTCTCTAGAAAATTTGATAAGCCTCATATTATCAGCCCCATTAGCCTAGAAATAAAATCAAGATTGATCTTTCTTCGTTCATCTGTTTCGTAAAGTATTAAATTTTATGTATTTATATAATATTTTATATAAAAATTATGTATCAAATTATATTAATATAAAAATATAAAATATAATTTTTTATTTTTTTAAATTTATATATAATAATTATTATAATTTTAAATGTATTATTTTTAAGTTATATTTTTATATTATATTTAGATAATATCATTATATCCTATTTTAATCTTTAAATCGATTGTAGAATATCATCAGGGAAATTGAGCATTGAATTAGAGATAAGTTTAAAGACAAAGACGTGATGGGTTTGAGGTTGTTTCCGACAGCGGTGGCGCTTATTCCGCAATAAATGATTTAAGAATAAAGGATGCAGTTAAAAGTCTATTCAACCAGACATCGGATTTCGTGTTAGAATTTGATTCTTTGAATCTTCATCCAGTTAGAATGTCGGTTTCTCTTCTGGAATTGTTTGGATATCAAGCGGCCTTTATCAATTTAACGTGATTAATTATATGGCACGTGTCAGGACTCAGGATTAGTTTAATGTATTTTTTATTTTATCAGATTTCATAAATTTAAAATTAGATAAATTGATACGAAATAATATAAAAAATAAAAATAATATAAATTAAAAATTTAAAGTATAATCTATATATAGATGCAACAAATAAAACAGATTATATATATATAATTATAATGTATATTTTTATATAATATAAAATTATAAATACATAAATTACTGTTATTTTATAAGACACATGCTAAATATATCTTTTTTATTTTGTCAGATAAACATATAACTTGAAAGTTAAAATATTAAAAAATATTAAATTATTTTATTAAATTAAATAAGTTTTTATTTTTTGATTTGTATTTAAAAAATTATTATTTCAAATAAAAAATTAATTTATGTAAAGAGTTTATTTAAATATAAATTAAATAATAAAAATTATTTAGATATAAATTAAAAATTAAAAATTAATTTAAATGCGGAAAAAATTAATTTAAATAATATAATAAAATTTAAAATTTTTATTATTTTAACTTGAATTAAATTAAGCTCATTCATCAATAAACAAATTTAAAATCTCGAAATTTTAAGACCTCTGTGCCGACAAGGCCTCATTAAGAGCTATGTATTAATTGTCTACAAAAACAGATGTAGACACATAGCTAACTGAAATTAACACAATAGAGTAGTGTGTTCTACTGTATTGATTTAAGGGTCAATATTTTCCATCATACCCTTCCATTTCGTCCTTTCCTCCCTTGGTATAGCTTCATTTCGGATCCTCATTTTTTGTATGGTTTTTCTTTTATGGAATTTGACTAACTGATATGATTGAATAAAGCAATTTTTTTATATGATTTGTACTTTATTTTAGAGACTTGAATCAAGAGAAATACTCACATAGTAAAAGAAATCCTCCATGCCAAAGGCTTTTCCATTACCATAATCCATACTCCGAACCCCTCAAACTACCCTCATTTCAGATTCTATTTTATACCTGATGGATCATCGGAAAATCAAGTTTTTCCATCAGATGGTGATCATATTGTAGCCCTCCTAACGATCCTCAATTTGAATTCTCTTAACTTTTCGCGATTTCTTGACTAAGTTGCTATCCAATGACTTGGGGGATCCCATTACTTGCTTGGTTACTGATGCTTTATGTCACTTTACTCGAGCTGTTGCTGATGGCCTTAAGCTTAATTCCGAGGATTGTGGTGAGGACCAGCAATGACTTCTTTTCTTGTTTTAACGTCTCTGTCATTTCTGCCTGGATAGGGGTTACCTCTCAGTACAAGGTATAGATCTCTAGTCTAACTCTTTGATCTGACCCTAATAAATCATTATCTTGATAACTTTTCTGAGATAATTCTATGGTGTTCTACTGATAAGATTCAGATTTTACCGGACAACTTGATGGCATGTTCAAAAGTCACAAATCTCAGTTTCTTATTATTGAAATGGTGAATCTAATTGCTTGTCTGATCAGAATGTCAAATAGAAAACCAAGCCCCAGAGCTTCAAAGTCATTTTTATATTTGAACCATGTGATTCAATTCAGTGATATTGTAGTTCAAGAAACCAAGGCCTCTTCAGATATGGAACTCCTATTAAGAACTTGAACAAGAACCTCTAACAAAATGTTCCCTTTACTTTCCAATCCCAAATTTTCCACTAGGTCTTTCCCACAAGTACTTTCCAGCCTCATCCAGTAGCCAACTTCCTCAAGACCATAGCTGCATATCATGGCTAGACAAACAAGCACCTAACTCTATCCTCTATGTTAGTTTTGGAAGTGTAGCTGCTATAAATGACACAGAATTCTTGGAGATAGCTAGCTTGGAGATTGGGCACAGCAAGCAGGCCTTCTTGTGGGTGGTTAGACAGGGGTTAGTCCAAGGCTCAGAGTGGCTTGAACTATTGCGAAATGGGTTCCCAGATATGGTACGTAAAAGAACCCACATCATGAAATGGGCTCCCCAACAAGAAGTGCTGGTTCACCCTTCAACAAATTTTGATTATAATCATATTATCAATCATCTCATTAAACTTAGGGAAAATTACTTATAAATATGATGTGGTTTGAGACAGATTGAAAATGATTCCAGATTTAAAAAGGGATACATAATTATTTTATAATTTTTTTACTCAAAAGCGTTACTTTTTATCTTTTATCTCTTTTTTCCCTTTTTCTTCATCATCAATTCATTCTCTCTCTAAAATTAAAGAAATAAAGTTCTCAATCTTTTGATTTTTCTCGCATCTTTGTTAAAAGAGTGAGTTTCCCTCTGTTAAACTTATACTAACATGAAAATTGAAAACAGTTACAGATCTACATTAGCCCCTTCAAGACATAATTCATGCTAGCAGGGATAGTGCATTAAATTTGAGCTCGTAAAAGTAAAAATCCGAAGTCAAATAGCATGGACTTGAAATATAAATTTGTGGCTAGAAGGTTTTGTTTGCCATGAATCTTCCTTTAAACTTCTGGCAATAAAATTTCTTTTGTTTTTAAAGTGACTTGTCAAATTAAGATCAAATAATTAATCAAAACTTCTGTAATTAGTCTTTCAGTTGAAATTGGAGAAAAAAAATCCCAATAAAATGACGGGTATATGTCCCAATTGCAATTCCTCTTCATGATTAATGCGTCAACTCTAGTCTCCACCGAAATTTCGAAAATGATCCTTTGACTTTTGCATTTGCTGGGACCCTGCTCATTCATTTCATTCTACCAATTTCCTTCTGTTTCTTGAATATTTCCATGTTAAATGACAAACATTCAATTGATAATTAGCTACTTAAAAGTGTGCCTATGAAAACTTGATGAAATTACTCTCCAAAAAAATAGAGATGTATTGGAAGCATGAACTGGTCTGTGTCAGGCATTGGTAACCTTTCAGCACTTTGCCATGAGTTTTAGATGAAATGAGCCCCTGGAAAATAAACCTTTTTTCATAGTTTTACCAAGGCCCAAGACCCACAATTTTACGCATGGCTTCGGCTTTTCTTTCTATCTTGGACTAAACTCGAGTTTAGTTCTTGACTAATTTTCCTTTCTTCTTCTAAGTAATTGAAATTGAATATGTCTCTGTTGAATTCTCAAATATTTGAATAAACAATGATTTCATATCAAGATAAAGAGCTTTATTTATCTAATTTTAGAAAAAAATATTTATTTGATTTTATAGAAAGAATGAATTGATGATGAAGAAGAATAAATAAAAAATAAAATAAAATAATGAAAAAAATAATTGTTTTGGATAAAAAATAATAAGTTTTATTTTTTAAACCTCAAGATTTATTTTCAATTTGTCTTAAATCATAATGTATTTAAGATTGTTTTTACATATTTGTATTTAAAAAATTAAATTTATGTGATTATTTTTAATAAAAAAAAACTTTACAAATTCTACCAAAAAAAAAAAAAAAATCTCATGAAGTCTTACCCTCTAAGTAAGTTTTTTCCCAAATGCAGTTACTTTTTAACTTTAATTCTTTAACCAAAACACTTTTAAACTTTATTCCCAAACACACGTACCTTTAATTAAAGTAAGCGCCACATCAGCATTTTATTACGCATCCGCTTCTTCTTCCTCGTTCTTCTTCTCCTCTCTACCTTGCAAAGTTGTGTTTGCAAGCCTGCAACGACATTTATATTTGTTTTAAATTTTTAAGAAAAAAATTTTCAAAATCTCAAAATTTTATCAAATTATAATAAATAAATAAATTATAGTTTCTACCAGTTCATACATAGAATCATATTTCTTCTCTCAATAATAGGATGGATCTTTCCCAAATCTGGAAAATTATTGATGTATAGGGCAAATGAAATTAAGATCGATTGGTGTAATGGTAAGACAAAATCCAATGGTAATGATTTTACTAGCCAAGTATAATGGATTTAAGTTAGATTTCTCATTTTTATCCTTAGAAAATTAAAGCTGAGCAGAAGTGGGATTAAAGCCAGATTAACCAAATCCATTTTATGATTGGTTAAAGCCATGGTGAGATTGTATATAATATTCAAGCCATACCCATTTGCAGAGTTTCTTTCAATTTGAAGAAACCCAAGCAAACAAACGCATATAATGGGGGTTAAGTTTCAGTTTGTTTTCTAAATAAGAAATGGGTTTGTTATCAAGCAGTGAACTAACACTGCTAAAACACAACCTTTCCAAAGTTTTTTGGGTTTCTGTTCTTTTTTTTAATTAATATATACAGATGAGAAATAATAAAAAAAATAAAAAATTGATAATATAGCATGAAATATCTCATTTATGGAAATAAAATTAAAAATATTTATTGATGTCAAATTTCGATCTCATGATATTATTGAAAAAACACAAAACAAAGATGATTAAAAATAAAAGTAAAAAATATTTTTTACATTAACGTTACGACACATAAGTTAAAATAGATAAAATAAAAAAAAATAAAAATTATATGAAAATTTTTTAATAATATTGAATCTTCTTATTTATATAAATAAATAATAAAAATTATTAAAAAATGATAAATTCAATATCAAATTGACGTGTTATTAAACATATCAAATTACTTTCGACCAAGCCCGTGAGTGGGGGCTTCTTGTTTTTCGCATTTAACGTTCGTTGACGGTTGAGCCATGATAGGGACCTCCTTAGTGACATTCTTTATCTCACTTCCTCCAAAATTTAAATCTGATAAATACCCTTTTTGTATGTTCATAAAGTTTTTGACAAATTAAAATTTTCATTTTCATCAATTTGGGGATTAGCAGGCATTAGAAAAATTGCTCATAATTATTTAGAAAGTAATGAAAATTTTTACTACTTGTTTAAAGATATGATTAATTGAACTTTAAAATTAATTTATGGCTAAAATTTTAATAATTTTAAATTGAGTATTTATGATCATACATCAATAAGCCTATTTGATTAAAAAAATAATATGTGACATTCATCTAAATAAAATTGTTTTTGGCCAAAAAAATAAATAAAATTGTTCTATATCATTTTAAAAATATATATCTTATTATTTTTCTGTGTAAAATTCTGGATTTTATTGTTTCAAATTAAATCTTACTGTTCAAAACCATAAATGTAGCCTTAACTAGGTGTGTAATCAATTGAGTTCGAGTCGATATAATATTAAGCTCAAGTTTGAACTCAATTCAAAATTCGAGGCTCGATACTCAACTTAAACTCGATCAAGTTTCATTTTTCTAGCTCGAGCTCGACTAGAAATAAAAATCGAGCTACTCGAACTTGTTCGATTAGGCTCGATTAACATATAAAAATAAGCTTAATTCTTATATTCGACAAAAGCTCGATTATTTATGCTCGAACTTGGATTCGAGATATTTTATTAATTAAAATAATAAAAATATATTTAAATATAAAAATTCGATTAAGCTCATAAGCTACTTGAATCAGATAAAAATACTCGAATTTGGTTCAATCGATGAATCGAGTTATTCGAGTTCGAACTCGATTAGATAATAATCGAATCGAATTTAAATTTTATTCGAATTAAATTCAAATAGTTTGTGAGTATTAATATATTATTTATACCTTTAATCTTAGCAATACGATGAAGAGCTTGTTAATATGAATGGGTTGGTAGCTTATATGAAAATGCAACGAATCTTAACAAAGCTTCTGTCTATGAAAATTTCTTATATCCATGCTTAGTAGAACTGTTTATTATTCGAATACAATATTTAATATTGGTTCCTTCTTCTTGTTCTTCATACTTATATTTGGTGAAATTCATCCTTTCTCGTTAGAAACAAACTAGATGAACATAGTGAAGTGTTTTATTAAAAATAATTAAATAAAAATTGAACTTAAAAATTCAAACTAATAAATTAAATATAAAAATTTTTAAAAACTTTTCATATAAATATTTTTGCTAAATTAAACATTGATAAATATTGATCAAATTTTAATTATAAATAATATTTTTAATAATTATTTTTATATATTATCAATCATCTCATTAAATTTACATATTTTTATTCAAAAAAATCAAATTTATAAGATTATTTTTAATAAAAAAATTTACAAATTCTATCCCAAAAAAAAAAAAAAATCTCATGGAAGTCTTACATTCTAGATAAAGGGTCAGTCTCCATTACTTTTCACAAAAGTCGTGAGTTGGGGCTTATCGCTTTTGGCATTTACTGATGATCGTTGACTGTTGACTGTTGAGGCATGTTGGGTGAGAAAGATTTAATTATTTTTCCATGTAAATTCCGGATTTGATTGTTTCAAATTAAAATTTATTCGTTCAAAACCGTAAGAAGAGCTTGTTAATTTGAATGGCTTGGGAGCATATAGGAAAATGCAGCCAATCTTAACGAAACTTTTGACTATGAAATTTCTTATAATCATGCTTAGTAGAACTGTTCAAGCATGGTGTGGAATTTCAAACAAAAATAAATTGTTAACGAAAAGTAAAATAAAAATAATAAAAACACAAAGAAATACGTGGTTCCGTTGGAATGATTCCAACCTACATCCACGGAAAAAGCCTCCAAGGGCTCTGTTGTTTATAGTTTCATCAATTAACACTGAAATAGATTACAAATAACTCAATTCATAGATCTCAATACATATTTCAAATAAATGATTAATTTCACTTAATCATCAATACCTTCTCATAATTGTCTTCAATTCACTTAATCATTAATATCTTCCACTGCCAAAAAAATAGTTTTTATCAACAAAAAATTCTGTTGATAAAAACTAATTTTCTGTTGGTAATTCTCATAATGTCATTATCAGATAAAAATAACTTTTATCGACGAAAAATTCTTCAATAATTCTCATAATTGTCTTAGATGCTCTGATTTTTGTGAAAATCGGAGTGTAGGAGTGAACCATATCGGCCTGGAATGATAACGAGTAGAGTCTGAACCAAATTCAAGAGACTCAATTCTCTGATTCACCATGTAAAACACACCAATGTCATGAACTCCATGTTGCTCCCAATTATCATCTGTGAAGTATATACGGTTACTGTTGCAATTGGGGATCTTGGCCGATTGAATGGACCAAGAGTTACCTTCACCAACGAATAATGCATAGTCTCCTATATCATTTAATCTCTTCCATATCTCTGCATCACCATTAACATCAAACTGAAGCATGTAAACCAAGAAACTTTTCGTCTTACACCTCTTCTCAAAGAGATTGCTGGATCCATTTCGGAAAACCGCCAAAAGTTCTCCTGATGACTCCAGAAGATAGATCTTGTCAACTCTTACTATATCATCCGGAGGATAGCATGCAATAATCTTTGTTGCAGATTCAGGATCATCAGATTCAAAACGTCTAACCCTTCCTCTTCCACAAATGGCATAAATTTGACCCTTGAAAAGCGCCAAATCCTGGACATCATTCACACCTACAACAGTCTTCCACTGAACAAATCCTGGTTTAGCGAAAGCCAAGCAATGCCTTGGCCCAAATATCACCATAACAAGAAACTCATCCTCGGAAGGCTTGAGTAGAATGCATTTGTGAATGAACCTAAAAGGATCAGCAGCCACAGGCATACCTATCGGGTTCCGAATTGTGTTGAGTTTTGGAAGGTTGAGTTGAGCTTGAGAGATTGGGTGTAAAAGGTGAACTTGTAAATCAGAGTCCATAGTCACAATCCATCCATGGGGAGAACCATGACATCGCTTTCCATAAGCCTGAGGTAGCTTCAGTTCATAAAGCTTGTTCCGATCAAAACTGAAAAAACTTTGGGTGCAGCTGTTGTCTTTATCAGAAAGCATGAGCCATGGAAACTGATGGCCTGGCCGCACCGCATGTTAAAACAAGCAGATCGCCATGGACGACAAACACCTGATAATGCTGTAACATCTTCAAAAGAAGTAAACTGATTACTGATTTTTGAAATGACATCATCAGGAAGTAGATCAAAATTAGGTTGACATGGACGTAAATTGTTCAAGCTGAAAGGAAGTAATATTTGAAGTAAAAGCGAAAGGGTGACAAGTGCTTTTTTGCTTGGAATTGTGAGAAGTAGTGAAAGAGAACAGAGTAAAAACAATAGAAAATAATCTTTGAGGGCTGAAGAAAAGAAGCTACACCAATTAGTTTCCTCACCATGGGTAAGTTGAAACAGATTCCATATCTGCTTGAAAAATATTAGGATTGGAGGCAGTAAATATATCAATGGTTTTGTGTAAGGAAACATTTTCTTCTCTATTTTTGGACAGATATTTGGGTTTGTTTCTCTTTCCTCTTCTATCATTCTTTTTCTTTTCTGTTTTCTTTCCATTTTTTCTCTATTTATAATAGTGGGAACAAGAGGAAGGAAGCTTTGTCTTCTAGTGGGCGTTTTAAGGCTTACCGAATGTAGAATGGGCATGTGCCTTTGATCTGTCAAAATTACGGATTTAAAACTAAAAGCCCAACAAGGTGTGGATCACTCCAATGGATGGTGATGATATGTTTATGACAAGACTCACTTGTGTTCAATTGCTTGCACTAAGGTAGAATTTCAGAATCTGATATGAACAAATACTTCACATTGAAATACAGCTTCTGGGAAATTTTTTAATCCTGAATGGAACACTGTTGCGAGAAGTTTAAACACTAGTAACTGATAAGGATCCTAGGCAATGACTCCAATGACTATACCGCTACCACCACACTCTCTAAACTAGAGTTCCATGCACTGTGAGTCAAGAACAAACCAATAGCCGATGGTTCATGAACTCTTCCCGGGAGTGCCTTATTCACAATGTAGCCTCGATCCTTAGTCCCATCCCATCCCAAAGAACGTCTTCACCAATTCCTTGCAATACTTTTTCTTTCACTTTGTGGCATGTTCGGGATTCTAGAATAGACCCATTAGTACAAATTCCATCATTTTCTAAGCTGTTGCTATATGTCCATACATTTGATAAAATCTAAAAAAAAAAAAATGCACCAACCAAAGCCTGGATGCTATGCAATTGAAGAAATGAATCATGGAAAACAAAAAAAAAAAACCCTAATGTCACATGAAAATTGGCATTTTACATGACCTTATTAATATAATTGCAGTCTATGTTAAACGAAGCAAAATATAAAACACAAGAATAACAAATTCAAACGACATTATAAGGATCTAAAACAAATAAACATAGGAAATATCAAATTAAAAACATCAACATAACTTGCAAAAATAAAAATAAAAACCTAACCTAAAAGTGAGAAATTAAAATTAAGAGAAACCCATTTAATCAGAAACAAGATTGGCCCTTCAACACACCATCTAACGATGTTTAGGCAATGTAACAGTCAAAACCCCATATTCCATCTTAGTTATAGCAGCCTCAACCTTAAAATGAACAGGCAACTCGAATGTCCTCATACACTTCCCAAAGTGTCCTCTCCCTCTGAAGCCATGATCTTCTCCCCTCTTAAGTGCAAGAACTTCCCATCTTGAACTTGCTGCGTCACCTCTTCCCTCCTCAGCCCTGGCAGGTCGGCTTTGAACACGAACGTTGTTTGGGTTTCTTTACAATCAATCAGAAGTTGTTCCTTTGAAGACGACGACTTAACTCCGAAAGTAGAAGCATGTAATTTGCAAACTTGTCGTCAGGGATGTAGCCGGTGACAATCAAAGGAGGGTTGCTAGACATTTTTGAAAGCAAGGTTAGTTGGTTGTTTGTTTTGGGTAGATAAATCGGTTTCAAGGAGAAAATTTTGATTCCTGATTGATTAATTTATCTTAAATTATGGGCAAAAGGTTGACACTCATCCTCACATGCCCAAAAATATACAACTTTGACAATCAAAAGATAAATCAATGATACAAAAGAAAAAGTTAATTACACGTTGGGAATTTGAATTTTGGAAATATGTATAAGTTAGTATCTAAAAAATTAAAATATACAATTTACATTATAAATTTTCAAATTGTGTATTACTTTAATTCATATTTTAAATTTGTTAACTTAATTCGCATATATATAGTATCTAATTGATATAATTTCATTATATTCAAGTTATTTGTTAAATAAAAGTAATAAATATTTTATAAAAACTTCTTGTGGATGTTATGTATACGTTATGTGACAAATAATAATTGATTGATCATAGATAATTTTTATGATTCAAGTAAAAAAATATATTTTAAATTTTATTAAAAATATTAAAAGTATCTGTGATGAATATATAATTTGATAATATTTATTAAATGCTATATATATAAGCTGATGTGGTTGGTGGGATTAAAATTTGTGTTAATATGATACATAATTTGAAAGTTTATTGTGAAAAATGTATATTTTAAATTTTCTTAAAATTCAAATACAGAAAGTGTAATTAACTCTATCAAAAATCAAACTACCTCATTAACTCTTATCTTATGTAATATAAATATAAATAAAAATATATATACTAGGTAATATCTTGTGCTTTACTGCAGTTCAAAAATAATAATAGTTAAAAACACTAAAACATATTTGTATATACTTGTTTTATTAACCTATAAAATATTAAGTTTTCTAAAAATGAATGTGAGATCTATCATAAACAATAAAAACAAAAAAGAATTGAGAATTTCACAGAACAAATCAACAAATTTCTTATCAAATTCTTTTAATACTTTTCAAATTTGTAGCTTAGGTCTTTTAACTGATGAATTTTGCAAAAGATCATCGTAAATTAGTGAGTATATTTATCAATAAATTATAAGAGTTTAAATAAAATGATAAAAAAATACTTACAATTCGGTGAATTTTTTATAGAAAAGCAAAATCTGAATGAAAATTGAAGAATAAAAAATGGGTAATTTTTTTTTTAATGTTTTCTTATAAAGGCTTTTGGAAAATTAACAACATTAAAAAAATTTACAGAAAAATAAATAGATAAGGAAGATGAAGAGATTTCATCATTTTTTTATTTAATGAATTAAACTTTTCACTTCCTATTCATGAATGGAGTAATTGTGATAATAGGACGAAGAAGCCGATAATTGCTGAAATTAAATGCTTGTTGATTTGAACATCCTCTTGGATAATCATAGAGTTTAATTTGTAAGTTGAAAGGTAAAAGTAATTTGTGGAATTAAATAGTTAAAAAAAATATAAAATTTTTTTAAAAATAAAATGATAACTTATTTATAAAATTGACACGTGATATTTTAAAAAAAATTATACGTTCAAATAGAATTATGTTAGATAATTCAAAGATAAAGCTTTTTATAGAAATAAAGAAAAATTTTGTTATGGGTTCTTTAATTCATGCAACATTTCAAATCTTATATAAGAAGATCGAATTAATTACATGTATTTTAAATTTAAAATCAAGATTTCATCTTGAATATTACATTATTTTTTACCAAATTAAAAATTACATTTATTAGAAATATTTTCCTTCATTATTTCTTAAGACATTAATAATAATATAAATTCTATAATTCAAATTGAAATTATAGAAACTCTCAATTTTTTTTTTTAGTCTTCATAAGTGGACTTTCCAAAATATAATTTAAGCAGTTTCAAACTATTAAATACCATTATTATATTCATATCCTTCCATATATATGTATATTTCAAAATTTAAATGGTTTAATTATTATATTATATATTGCAATTGTTCAATAATTCAAATTATGTATTTAAAATACTAATATAAATATTAAATTAAAAATTAGTGAAAATTTTTAACTTCACAAATAAAATTAAAAAAATTAACACATATCTTATTTTTTAATTAATTTTTTATTTTAAATATATATCTTAAATATTTTACTAAAAATTTAAATTAATCAGACTCAGATATATCTTAATGAATGGATTGAATTCGAGGAAAAATTGTTAAAAATGTGTGTAATTGACTTGACTCAGACTCGCTTATGAACACGATTATTACTTTTATGTCTAAATCATTTAAACAAGAAAATGAAATTTAAGATATGCAAATCCACCAAATTGAACATGTAACAAAACAAAGAAAACACTATATATTCTTAGAATTATTGTTCATTGATGCCTAAATTGAAACTAAGATACATAAGAGACAAAACATCTACTTAACTTTGACATGATCCTAACTGAGAGGTACAATATAGTCAAATTAACGTACAAGACACCAGTTGCTGCGGTGAACATGCCGTGATTAGCGCTGAGGATTACTCTTACCAATTCTTAATCAAAGCCGTAAACACGTAACTTTTGGTGCTGGTAATCAAATATGATTATTAGATTTGATAATTTAAAATATGATATTATTAACGATATGAATATAATATAAAAATAATACGATTTAAAATTTTAATAATTATTATATATAAATTTAATAAAATTAAAAATATTTTATTTTCATATTGACATGAATGTGATGTATAATTTTTATATAAAACATGATATGAATATATGAAATTTTAATATTTTATATGACATGAATACATAAATCTTCAGATTTAATTATCATCAATCCATCTATAATTCTTTTTTCTTTAAACAAAATTAATTCTTTGGCTAAGTTATTATTTTTCTTATTAAGTGGGAGATCACTCATAATTTTTTCATTGGATTCCATTTTTTGAAGAAAAATAATGAATTTTGGCTTTATTATACCCTACACGAGGGATAGCATGCTTTGCTGATCATTAATTTCATTTCATTATTATTATTAATAAAAAAAATTGCATCATGAATTTATAATAAGTTTTTGTAACACTTGATTTCTCAAGATTTTGGTTAGATTGTGAGTGATTTTATGCTTTTTGTAGCCTAGAAAAGAAGCAGAACATGTGATTTTAAAAATATATTGAAGTTATTTTATTCCAAAATTGTGTTCAATTTAATTTTTTGGGAATTTAATTGGTTGAGCATGAATATTTTATCTATTCTATGGAATCCATGAGAAAGGTCCATCCCTTGTTTCCTAAGGTAAATCATTTGACATAAGTACTTTAAAAGATTGAGGAAAAATCATCATTGCATCTACCATTACCAATTTCTTGAACAATATATATTTGACATTACAATTTTTTTTTTTTTGCTCTCTTTCTTTGTATCTTTTTATAATATATATATATATATATATATATATATATATGAGCATTTATCTTTAATATTGAAAATGTTATTATTTCCTCTATTTTTGTCCATTCAATTTGTTTCACTTAGCAATTAAATTACAAAGAGTTTATATTTTTATTTTTTTAAGCAAAAATTATGAATTATCTAACAAAATCATAAATTATAAAAAAGATTGATCTATTGAAAGATTACTAAACTCTTATTTTCAATGATCAGGATTTAATTTTTGATATTTTTAAATAAAAAATACTTATAATTTTTTTTGGATAAAATAATCTTACTTTTTAATGAGTGGATAAAAGTAGTAAATATTAAGTGATTTATTAAAAAAATAGTAAATATTAGGTCATAATCATAACTCATATATTGTTGCATTTAATTATTTACTTATTATTTAACTTTACATGAATAAAATCCAAAAATTATTTACAAAAATCCAAAAAAATCGGAAATGTGGGTCCATCACTACCAACAATCAGGACAGAGAATGTCTTATTACCTCAATCTCAGACATTAAAAATCTACCTTGGCAAGGATATATTTGGATATCAACTTTGTTATACTAAGAATCTTAATTTGTAATAAAACAAACCCACAAACCCCAAATTCAGTTAAAATATTTCAATGAACGTGCATTGCATGATTGGATTCATTCTATTCACTCTCAAGATCATATTTTTTCTAATTATTCAAATTAATAAATAAAATTAATTATAAGGGTTTAGCAATACACGTATCCCGATCGGAGAAATGCCAGCGAATATGGCACCTCAATGGCGGCGGATGGCAAATAGTTTGTCTCCCAAACCACCATGGCTTCAACCTCACTTAAGACGTCGGTCGCATGCTTCGGCATAAGGCATGTTTCAGCCTACTTTTTCAATGGTGATCAAAGGTGTTAATGATGATAAAATAAAAGACATTCTTATCCAATTAATTAACCTCCCTAAAGTTTTGGTTACGATTTGCTGCTGTCAAAGGCAGCAATGTGTCAAATTGTTCCTTTCCCTTTTTCCATTCCTAATCTTTGAGGACCACATGCTTTTTTTTTTTTAAGAGAAGGATCACACTTTTATTTATTATTTATATATAATAACCGTTACATTATTATATGTGAAGTTAATTATCACTTAGACTTAATTCAAATTAAAATGGAAATCTGTGTAAAAATCTTAGACTCAAACTAATTTATATACCAAATTTATTTATTTTTTAAAAGGCGATCAAAATATCTCTAAGGTTTCATCAAATTAATTTCCTTTTTAAGTAATTTTAATAATGTATTTTATATCAGTTCGATGTATTTAAAATTTCACTTTTAAAATATTTTCAAAAAAAATTTACGGCTATATACAAAATTTATGCTCAGTGAAATAGATAAAAAGTAATAAAATAAAATATTAATGACTTCACGTATATATTACACGAACAAAAGGGAATTAATATAACCTAACAATTAGATTGTTATGGTAAAAATTGATCAAATATTGGGTAGTAAGTGGCTGTCAAAATTGAATTTCACTTATTAGAGAATCGGAGGAAATTAAGGAGAAAAAGATGGTGGAAAATGAGATGTCAATATACTTGACACAAACTGAGAAAGAAAGTACTTATGTACAACTAAGAACCTAATATAGTAGGACCCTTCTAACTGATGACAGGTGAGCTCCCATATCTTATTCAGCCAGGATTCCATTTTCAAGCCTCAAGCTTTGAAAAACAAGTTCCTTTAGGAGAAAATCACACCCTTAATTAAATCAAAGAACTTCTACATTCGGATATCAAAATTTCCCATTGACTTTCCCTCTATGAATTAAAGTATCAAAACCAGTTATTTATCTGATCCAATGTGAATGTCAGCTCCATTTTCTACCTGTTTTTTATCAGTCAAAAAACTTGAAAAAATTTTGTTTCTCTAGTACAGCGGTCTTAAGCAAACACTGAAATAGGGTTAGACTTTAGAAAAATAAACTTATTAAAATAAGAAGAATTATAGGTGATAATTAAGTAAATTGGGTTAATTTCAAATCTTTCAAATCAAATAATTTCGAGTTTAGATTAATTCAAATTCGGCTACAGAAGCTCAGCTCTAATGAACTAGGGAAAAAAAATTAAAAGAGTTAATCTGGCATGGGTTTGGAGTTAAAAAGCAAAAATAACAAGAAAAAAATTAGAAGAATTTGTATTTGTATTTGTTTTGTTAATTAATTAACAAAAGATTTGTCAAATAAATTTTCTTGAAACAAAGAGAGGGAGAGAGGGAGAGAGAAAGCGTGCAAACACGACAGAGACAAAGCGAACCACGTTACAAGGGGGCCAAATGGTCGGTTGGTGATGTTCATTGTTCACCAGCTAGTTTCATCAGCTTCTCTCTCTCTCTCTTTCTCCCTTTGAATCCAAGGCTCTTTCTTTAGTATTTTGTTTCACTTCTCTCAAAGCAAAGCTCAATCCCTTCCCTCTAATTCCAACACTTCTCCCATCTTTCTGTGCCCAAAAAACCATTTTTTTTCTTTTTCTTTCTGTTTATCTAATGAGGAAACTTTGTCCAAATTATGATCTTCCAGATGCGCTGGATACTGTCCTGGAAGTTCCAATCCCTGAAGAAATGTTTGCTTCAAACAAGAGTGGTAACCGGCCATGGCAGAACATGAAATCTTGGATGAACTTGAAACCAAATTCCGAAAGGTCGCCAGCTTTGACAGCTCTTTTTGGAGGAAGGAACACCGAGATTCAGCTCTTGCTTGGAGTCATTGGAGCTCCTTTAATCCCTCTTCCTATCAAGCCTGATCATGATCATTCCATCAGCAAAAACATCAAGGATCATCCCATTGTAAGTCTTTTATATAAGGGAAAATATCCCTCCACTTTTAACATATTAATCCTTTTTATAAAACTGTTTCTTTTTGGTATATACAGGAGGCATCGATGGCAAAATACATAGTGAAGCAATACATAGCAGCAGTTGGTGGAGAGAAGGCTTTGAATTCAATAGATAGTATGTATGCAATAGGGAAGGTGAAAATGGCAGCATCAGAGTTCAGTGCAGGGGAAGCCAGTGTGAACAACAAGATTGTAAAAGTGAAGAATTTGAGAAATGGTAGTGGAGAGGTAGGTGGTTTTGTGCTGTGGCAGAAAAGGCCTGATCTTTGGTGCCTGGAATTGGTGGTTTCAGGCTGCAAAATTAGTGCTGGCAGTGATGGAAAAGTGGCCTGGAGGCAGACGCCATGGCACCATTCTCATGCTTCCAGAGGCCCTCCTAGGCCACTTAGGCGTTTCTTGCAGGTACACAATCTCTTTCTTTTCTCCTTGTTTAAGCATCAAAATCAAATTGTCCTGGATAATGATTCATGGGATCCATTAGCTGATTAATTTTTCTATCATTATCTGCATTAAATGTTCTGATTCGACCCTTAACTAAATGGGGTCTCTTGCTTGGGTCAGAAACGTGCATTTTGGTTTGGGTTAATTACTGATATATTTCCTTTTTCTACTGATTTTCATGGTTTTCACCTTTTTTGCCTCTGTGTTACCTTGTTTTCTGTTCTCGATCCGAATCAAATAATCTCTCCTTTACTTTTCAGAATTTGGGCCAGAGTTTCATGTGAACAATTATTAATAAACTTTTGACCTTCTACTTGTATGTAATCCACTTCAACGTGGTTTATGGCCCAGTAAGTTAGCTCCACACGCCATGTAGGGTCACTGCCCTGGTCCGTTCCTTAACAAAATATCAATAGTTTCATGTCTCTAAGCCTAACAGCAGTTGGCAGATCTTTTAAGCTGCTCTCTTAGAAATGGTCAATTGCTATATTACTACTGACTCTTCATTTTTCTTAAAATATTTGTGTCGAACACATATCCAAATATATGGATATATAAGTTCAATTCTTCAAATATATGAAGAAACTTAAAAAAGAGTAACATAAGTCATTAGACATTACCTGCATTTGTTCTCTCTTTCAAATTGATTATTATTCACTAAAAATCATTGCATTTTTGCACTTTCCAGGGTCTTGATCCAAGGTCGACAGCATATTTGTTCTCCAATTCGGTTTGTGCTGGTGAAAAGACAATCAATGGTGAAGATTGCTTCATCCTAAAACTAGAGGCTGAACCTTCAACACTGAAAGCTAGAAGTAGCACCAATGTAGAGATAATTAGGCACGCAGTTTGGGGCTACTTCAGCCAAAGAACAGGCCTCTTAGTCCAACTCGAAGACTCTCATCTTCTAAAAATCAAAGCCTCTGGAAATGACAGTATTTTTTGGGAAACCACAATGGAGTCCTGGATTCAAGACTATAAAACCATAGATGGGATCAACATTGCACATGCTGGCAAAACTTGGGTGTCATTGTTCAGGTTTGGAGAGAACTCCGAGGGCCATTCCAGGACTAGAATGGAAGAGATTTGGACAATTGAAGAAGTAGATTTTAACATAAAGGGATTGTCTATGGATTGTTTCTTGCCTCCTAGTGACTTGACGAAAGAAGAGGAAGGGTATGGGATTGTGCCAAGTAATGTAAGGTTGCCATTCAAGCTTAGATATGGGTCTAATAGGGTTAGTGCTTCCAAAATAGTTGCGATTCATGTTGATGAATGTGATGAATCATCAGATGATGAAGAATGGTAAATTTGATTCCTATAACTTTGTAAATACTAACAGTACAAAATATGTATGCATTTGTAGCTGCATATGATACGCCAAATTTTGAGTATTTGATACTTCAATTGTTCTTCTACCATATTGTAAAAGTTTTCTTCAACCATATATTTTTTATGAAAACAATATAAAGAAATTACATATTGTTTTATTCAATTATCTAACATGAAGTGATCCAACACAAACCCTATCCCGATTCGTATTTAAGCACAAGTATGAAGGATAGGAGAAGTCAGCACTGCTGTAAAGATGCTGCAATGCAAATATAAATTACAAAGAGGTTAATAACATTGCTTGTTGTGTGAATTAAATCCAACAAAATATAAGTTACACATGTTGTTCAAGCTCTGATACTAATATAAACAGCATGCTTAAGGAACAACCATAGATAGGTGAGAGTTGGAGCGCAATCATAAATCAAGAGGCTTGTCCACCTTCTTGATCATCACATCTAAAACCACTGCCACAAACTTTACTATTGGTTTTCACGATGGTACATTGAAGTGAAAGAGCCAAGAGATTACAAAGGCAAAGACCATGCACGCCAGGAGGAAATTTAGAAACCGGTGGCCCTGCCAGAAGTTTCGGGTTTCTGCAGCATGAATGGTGACAGGAACTGTTGCTGCTGGTGTGGAATCATTTGCCTCGTTCCACTGCTCCATCATGTCCGTCTCATTTGCAGCAGCAACATTTTGAGCAGTTGATCCACAAATCTCACAAGTTCTGAGTTTAGGCAATTATTAGGAAAATTATTGTAACAGTGGAAACAAACAGAGCATATAAGAAACAGATTTTTCATCTAGGGACCGTATATTGCAAAATATAGTATGGGAATTAATGAATAAGACATATACAAGGTAAATATACAAATTAGGTAAAGGTAACATTCAAAAAGTTCTGCAATACAACTGGAATTTTACTCATGGACACAATTGAAATATTCTATTAAAGTAAACTCTGGCATAATGCAACTTTTTTCTAGAATAACATTTTGATACAACATATCAATAGCTTCACAGTGATAACTCAACACAATGAAGAGAGGGATTTGAAGCTATGGAGATTCACTTTTCAAATTTGAACCACACCAAGGCTGCAAGTCCATGTTGGCAACATATCAGGAAATATTCTTAGACAAATTACTGGAGTTAAAGAAAACAAATACAACAAAATTTAGAGAAATATCTTTTGCCTTTTCATTACTCTGGAGTACAATGAAACCAGTTTCTACCAAAAAGCTAATGCATCAAGCTATGCATCAAATAAATTTAGCATTTACAACTCATTAAACAAATAATAGAAAAGCACCCTGCTAAGTCTGAAAAAAGAACAAGATGAAAAATATCATACAGTTTAGTGTGTATTAGCTGTTGACATCTACCCTTGATCCAACTTGATTAGAAACACCAAAACATAGAAAGGAGGCCTGTATCTAATGCCTTAGGCAAAGTTGGTATAAGAGAATGAGAGCAACATCTATGTGACGTTGGGCAATCAAAGTGTTCAGAATCATGCAATTTTTTATCAAATGAAATTGAAAATTGTGGCCCATATTCATACTGAATTCAAAGAAAGGCGGCAGTGAGATATTTTGATATCATTAAGATGCCATAGAAATGCAAAGATATACTGATGGATTGACTGTTTCCAATCAATTAATACAAATCATTTTGTGACAACTAGCAAATTACCCAATTCTACGTAGTTATAAGTGATGCGCATTTATCATAATCATATTATAAATCTCAAAAGCAAAGCATTGTCATATCCATCTAAAACCTCTCTTAATTGGATGATTGCACCATTAAAGAGAAATCCACATTCTTTGGTTCATCTTCCTTGACAAGACAACATATTAAACCACTTATGTTTCTGACAGAAACAGTGTGCTTAAAGCATATAGAAAAGATACAAAAAGTGGCCCCGTTAATGTAGATTCACAAAGTTCACAACAGCAGCAATGTGGGTCAAGAAAAAAAAAAAAGGAAAGGAACAAAGCAGAATGGGAAAGGAATAATTTTTAGAGCTGGAAATATTCAAAACATCCTGGTGATTCCATCTTTTTCTTTATAATTAACATTTGATTCCCGTCATTTAGTATATGACACGCCTTAACCTTTCTCTTTATTCTAACAAAGCAAAGATTGTTCTTGTTTATGTTCCTACTATTGTTTTTCTTGCATTAAACATGATCCTTCAGCCTGCATTTACAACAAAGATTCCCCCACATTTTCTCACAGAACAAACCAAAAGGCACAGAAGTCAAAAGGCAAGAGAATCAGCACCAAAATAACCTCAAACAATAGCATGGATCCACCAATGTCTGACCACTTTCCAATTTACAATCTTGCAGGGAATATGGTACACAGTTTAGGAAAGTTTTGCATTTTCAGCAACATCCAAGCACATTTCAGTCCCCAAATTACTAGGATTCAAGCAATCGGTACTCTCCACTCTACATCAAGAACAAAATTCCCCAAAGCACAATGTACCCAGATTTTCAAATCATGCCAATAAGGACAAAAAAACACACACACAAAATGCCAAAGGAACTCCAAAAACAAATAAAGAATCAAATCTTCACCACAATAACTTACCTGTTTCCCTTAATTTTGAACCATGCCTCAGCACACTGTTTATGAGCAGCAGCCAAATCATCCTTACAGGAACAACCCAACTCTATAGGCACACCATATTCTTGATTACTTGGGTCTAAACTGAGATGGCAAATCCTGCAATCTTTCTCCACTTTTGCCAAATGCAGCTTGGTTTCAGTCACCCTAGTCTCCAGATCCATTTCCAGAGAAGAAGTCTCTGACACAGAAGCAGAAGATCCCCTCTCCTTGATGATCTCAGTTGTTCCAGACTCTTCATCAGTTGAAGAAGAGGAACGCCTACTGCTGCCTTCTTGTTCCTCATTATCTGTCTGGTTTACTTGTTCTTCTCCATCAACATCAATGATAACTTCTTGGTGTGGTTTTGTTAAAGCTTCCATTTTTAAGACCCAGGTAGTGAATCTTCATGTAATTGTTCTTACAGACAAAGATCATCAAATGTCGGACAACAGGTTTGAGAACCCACACATTGAGCTTTAACAATGTGTTAGCTCTCCCTCAAACATGAAGTGAATGACAGCAGATATTGAACAACCAGGGTAGTACTGTTTAAGTGTGGTAGGTGATCTCTCCTTGTCCCGGCTGTCCCTCTTCTCTCTCCTGTTTGTCAGCTTGGAACAGGACATGGAAGAGAGCGAAAGGGTAACATTAATACAAAGAAAGATCTCGTGTAGAAATATACATAGGCCTGTAAGAAAAGTGTCGAGACAGATATTTGGATTTTCCAGGTTTTTTCTTTATCTTTTTACTAAGAGGAGACACTTTTATGTAGTGTTTACCCTGATTAGTTTAATGGATATGGGAAAATGACAGGGAAAACAGTGGCAACTAAATCATTGTTAGATGGAGAAAAAAGAAAAAGAAAGTTGGAGATTTTAGAGGATGATTTTTTATTGAAGTGACCCTATTGAATCTGTCATTTTCCAGTTGCTCATAGATAAATGATGTGGCCAAAAGTAGATCTAATCCTTCGACACGATAATATCGTACGAAAATAATTAAAAAAAAATTTAATATTTATTTATATGATATGATATAATTTATGTTATATATATATATTGACACATTTATATATTTAACAAGATACAAATAATATGTTTAATTTAATTTTGTTATATGAATATATTTTTAGCATATTTAATATATTTAAGGCATTTAATATATTTTTTATATCTATTTTAATTTAATATAAATATATAAAAATTATTTTTAATATTTTAATTATGATATTTAATTAATTATTTAATATCATATAAAAAATATGTTAAACATTTAATTATGATTTTTATTTAATAATTATTATTAAATTATTTTTTATATTAATAATATAAATACAATATAAATATAAATATTAATCTTATACATTATTATTTTAATTTTTAATAATTTATCGTTTTAAATTTATACTAAAAATTAATGTAGGTATATAATATAAATTAAAACTAAAAAATATATTAAATGAGTATTAAATTTTTTTATTTTTTTAATATATAAAAATTTATTTATATTCTTAATACGTTAAATTATTAAATTGTAAATAATAAATAATTTATAATTATTTATTATTTTAATAATATTATTATATATATTCATGTTAATTATATTTATATTTATATATATGTATTAATTTTATCTATTAATATATATTAATATTATTCATATTTATTCATATCATATTTAAACGAATTAATTATATATATATTAATCATATAATATATAATATGTATATCAAATGTATCATATTTATATTTAAAATTAAAATATATTTTATAATTTTTACTATATTTATATTTTAATAATTTGTGATGCTACTCGTAATAAATATAATATAAGATATAAGATAAAAATATGAATTATTAGATCTAATTAAATGCATAAATGTGCTTGCTTGGTTTTTTTTTTTATTGTTACTGTTTCTCCAACTTCGGCGTAGATTTAGATACGACAGCAAGAGTTTGGTAAGAGGGTACTCAAGACAAGAGTCAGCTTTTGTGTGAAATCTCAAAATTGTCCCTGTTTTTTGAATGTAAAATTTGTAGTTAAGTAGGGCATCATCGGCTTCTGAAATAAAGCTGAAGCTTTATTGATTAATCAAACTACTTTAACATGTTTACCAAGTGAAAAGGTTTTACCACATGTTATTAGGCATTGCCTTTAACAATTGGTCAAAGTTGTAATCTGGAGCCAGACAAAGCAGCGGCAGACAGGGACCTGCTTACAATTATTCTACATAAGAAAAGAAAAAAAGAGGACTCCAATTCATCAGAATTCATAGACAAGAAAGTGTACCAGGGCAGATTTTTTTCCCTTTATTTTTTCGATGGTAGTTAATCAGGGATGAATGGATGAAGGCTTTATTAAAGTAATTTTTGGAAGTATATGATACTTCATGAAAAAGCTCAATAACACTTCTGAGGAAAGAAAAAATAATGGAGGGCAGCACCTGAATTTTCACCATTGTAGCCATATCTTTTAATCGCTTTGCACGAAAATCATTCAGGTTCCCTGGAGTTCTCGAGTTTTGAGCAGCCTGTAGGCTGTAGCTATGGTTCAGTGGAGAGACCGAGAGAGTTTTGTCCTACTTGCTTATGGGAATGGGATATATATTAATAAACAACCTAAAGTTGATACAAACAGGGCTGTACTTTTTGGAAGAAAAGTATGTTTTTCATTTTCCAGAAGACAATCACCAGCTCCAAGGACTTTGTCCGGACTCTTGATTGACCTAGCAATTCCTTCACTTCTCACCCTTTGAATCTATTGCCAGGCATTTAGTTTTGGATGAGAGGCTCAGGTTTTATCGTCTCAACCTTAATTAAATCTCATACAAGCATGTGGGCATAAGCTGTTAACCTGATAAAGTCATATACACCAAAGGCAAGTGAATCATATTCAGCATTATACCAACAGAAAACCTTCTGCATCAAAGCTGAGATGGAGAACAGGATGATAGAGACTCCAGTCAGGATGTTTTGTTTGCACAACCTCCAAACAAGTTCTTAGGGTGAGTAAACGGCCACAGGTACATGATTTTCTTCACAACAAGCTTTAACCACTAATGTGTAATGTGGATCCGCCCAGAAAACATAAACGAAAGGAATGTTTTAATCCACTTGAGTGTAAACTGTGCTAACAAATTGACAGTTTATGTGAACATATCGCATTCCTTGACAAGATAAATTCTCAACATGTTTTGAGAAAAATATTTTACATCTATACCGTTATCAAAAGCAAGTGGCTCTTCATAGCCAACGAACTCTGGCCCCAACAACGAACTTTGAGAATGACCACCAGAAGGAGTTGAGCAGCAACCAAACCAACAAAAAATTTGCATTTTATCTTTTGAAATTTAAAACTTCATACTTCTTCCAGTAAAACATTATAATAAAACACTCCGCCATAAGACTTCTTCCACGAACTGCATTTTATAGTTTCAGTAATCCTTTTACTACTGTCATATGAAAAGAAGATGGAATTATGGAGTGTACCACTAAAGTTTAACAGTTAGGCAAGACAGGCTTGAAACAGTAAAACAATCCCACTGTTCAATAATTTGCTCTATAGATGATTTACTCTCGCATAAGCCCATAGAACTCCGGCACTAAGATCAGCTAGGAAAAGATGAATTGTTCTAAAGTATAACACAGAGCAAAATAGCTTTACAAATAAAATGAACTGTCATTCTGACATGAGTCTCTACTATCCTGAAATAATTAATAAACAAAATAAAGCTTCTCTCCTAAATGTACACATCAACCCCCAATAACCAGGACATTCTTTTGTGTTAGTGGCGGAGGGGGGGTCATTGCAGCTTCAACTCACTTCCAATGGCATCAAATTATACATGCATTACACATGATCAGGAAAAGGAATGGCAACTGAACACAAAGACTTCCAAACTACAAACATAAGACAAGAATAACAATCATGTCCTACATAACGGCCATTGTCGCATATACATCCTAACATCTAATTCTTTAACTTTTTTCTGAATTAATTCTTGTAAAAAACACACCAATTTCCACTAAATACTAATAGATATCACACTCTAAAATTTGTTTTTCCTTTTAAGAAACGAAGATAAAACCTTTGCAATACAAGGTAACAAACAGAGTACTAAATTTGGAACATGAAGAAACAAAAACAAACTCCAATAAACTTGGAATATTTGCAGCATTTGTCAAAACCAAAGAGCATCAATACATCAGCACTAATCCAAATCTAAAACAGAAAAAAAAAAAATCCTTTTCAGTTTTCACTATCTCAAATCAACAAAAAAAACAACTTTAACTTCTCACATTCAAACCAACCAAAACACAAAAAATAAAAAACAACACAGCCTCAAATAAAAAACCAACAAATACCCATTTTAAAACAATAAAAAAAAAATCCCATTTCAAAAAATAAACAAAAGATTTGAAAAAAAAAAAATAGAACTTTACCAGTAAAAGGTCTGAGCGCAAGGCAAGGGTTAAGCTGGTTACACCAATGAAGCCGACACGATTTCCCATATCGACCCGAAATTCCTCGTGCAATCAAACTCCAATTCCTCGCCTTAAACTTCACCACCAGCCGACTTAACACCGCGTCTTCCACAGGCAACCACGGTCCTTTCACTCTAGTATTACTCCCCCCACAACCACCGTCGCCAGCAAGCTCTGAGTCAACCGTAATCAAATCCAACATCCCCACCACCACCGCCAGAACCACTACCCCCTGCCGCCGGTGATTCTTGGCTTCTAATGGGCTGACTTCGTTGACTTCTGATTGAGCGGGACCAGGAGGTTAGTATTCAATGACATTTTAGCCATTGAAGCTAGGGGGTTTGTAGCTGGGCTTTCTTTGTAAATTTGGATAAATATGCGGGGTAGTTTGGAGAAGTGGGGTTCAGTTATTTGGTGGGCCAGACTGCCAAAGCAACGGCCTTCATCTGACAACTTTTGAAGTTTAATAAAGTAGACTTGTGTTTTTCTAGCTATGATTTTGCCCTCGATTTGACATGGGCCATTAGTTTGGTCTTTTAGTCTCAAATATGACATATAATTGGGTATGGGCCTACGCCCCAAACATGACTTGATATTTACCGCTGGCCCAAAAGTATTATTAATACATTATATGATCAAATGGGCTTATCCAACTAACTAAAAATGAAACCTCGTTTGAATTCACTGACCAATCTATTAGGAGTCGGATCTTAGATTCATTACGAATTTTAAGTAGGTTTATATTACGCAAATGGAAGTCGAAACCAATTCGATAAAGGGTAAGGATTGAAAACAAGTGAAAAATCAAAAAGCTTTTTAATTTGTGAAAGGTTATAAAGATTTTGACTTCAAAAAGTTTGGGATGTTTATCATTTCTAGGTACATACTTCAACTTGACTATGTATGGAACATTGTTGGTTTGCATTTTTTTTTTTTTAACAAGAGAGATAGCATAAGGAGATAAAAAGGAAATTGCGAGTACCGCATATCGGATTCTTATTTTCAACGAGAATCTGCTTAGAAAAAAATTAAGTGAATCAATTAGGTTGAATTCGAACTTGAATTCAAGCTCGAATTTTGGTTAATTAAATTAAGATAGAATTGAATAATCTTTAAAATATTTAAAGATTTTTTGTCTATCAAGTTATCAACACAAAT